GGAGTCCCGCCGCTGCCCTCGGGCCCTCCGCTGCCGCCTGGGCCTGGCCGCGTGCCTGCGCCGTGGAGCGACAGCCCTTTCAGCCAGTCTCCTTTCAGAACCGCCCCGGGCGCTCCCCTGGCCCCGGGTCCAGGGCCCCGCCCCCTCGGCGACCCCTCTGGGTAGGATTCTGCTGGGGTCAGGCGGGGACCGGTTGCGTGGGGCGATGTGGGCAGGATGGGGCCAAAGCGGGGTCCAGGGGACGCCCGCCAGGCCCGAACGTGGGGAGGAAGAAGGCGGCCCCTGGCGTGCGGGTTGGAGGGTTTCCTTCCCGGGAACGCGCTCCCTCTCGCCGCCCTCTTCTTGCGGCGGCGCCTGCCCCCTCCTCATACCCCTCCGCATCTATCGACCCCTCCCTTGTTTGTTCTTCAGAATTCAAGGGTCTTAGGCGGCAACTCCTTAGTCGAGGGTGCGCTCAGGGCCCGCAGCGCTCACCTCCCTGGTGGCCCTTCACAGAGTTCTGCTTTTGCTTTCCCTAAGTCACTGTTCCTTTCTTTCCCTTCCCCAGGGTGTACAATTTAGGTTTCACAAAAGATTTACCCACACACCTGTCATGTATCCCCCAAATTACTTTGTTTTAGAGACTCTAAAACATCCATCTGCTTGCTTCCTTAGTGGCCGGCACAGTTTCTGACTTGGAGGATTACTTCTCTTTCCTGTGCTGCAGTGCTCCCTGCGAAAAGAGTTTAAAATCCAGTCACTGTAAAGGCTATAAATTTGTACAAGATGCCTTCCTCGTGCCAGGCACTGAAGGCTGGTGGGATAAACTGTAGAGAACATAGTTCGATGGGGAAGATGGGTGGGTCCTGTATTGGTCAGAGCTTGGTAGCTATGGGAGCTTTTGTGAGCAGGTGAGACATTTTTCTAAACAAGAATGGCAGTTTCAAAGTTGGGAACAAAACATCCACTGAAAACAATATCAGAACACAATTCTTTCTAACATAACCATTTTGCATTGATGTCCTAGTTCCTGAAAGACTAGTATATTACTTCCTGTTGAGTTTTTGTTGTCACCTATTTTACTAAACTGGTTTTTGTACAGAACCTTGCCAGTTGTGTATGGCAAATCCAGACAGAGATCAGGCAAATAACGCTCCATAACCATTGTCTGAAGTAGTATCTAGACAGTTTCCTGTCGTGGCTGAGACCCTTAATTTAATGAGTTTGCAAATATTTTTCTGTTCTAGAGAAATAAAAGAAATGGGCATTTTTATTAACAAAGTGCTCCTTTTAAAATCTTTCTGCTTTTTTTTTTAGTGATGATGACAGCCTCTTCACATATGATTGTAGTACTGCAGAAAAGAAGTCACAAGAAAGTAAAGGGTAAGATGGGGAAGCCTCTTCGGGGCTTGGTTCATGGTTCTATTAATGGGACTTGATAGCCTAAGGAGGAGGTTGTTGTCTTCTCTCAGAATTCTTCCTTTCTCTTTACCTTGCTGTGTAGAAAACCAAGTACCACCTCAGGAAAGAAATGTGGAACTAATTTTCAAATTAGGCATTAAGAATATTAGGACTTCTCTGAATACTTTTGTTTCTATCAGTAATGATTTTATTGGTACTTTGAAATAATGCACCCAGTTTTAAGTGCATTGGGGTAGTTGTATGAAATTAACTTTAGCTAATTGAAAGGTAAGAAAAGCGGAGTGTGATGATTTTATATAGTGACATTCTTGGTAGAATTGGTCCTGCAGCTCAGCTTTTTAAAAAAGTTTCATTTAAGCCTTCCTCTAGTCTTGATTAGTTCATGTCCACGAGGGAGTGGGCCAGGTGGCTCCTTCCAGCTCAGCTCTTTGGATTTTGGTGTATATACTGAGAAATTTTTCTGTTTAGTTAGATTTTACTCCTTAAATATTAGAGCTGTTTGAACTTCCCCATGTCCTCTTAATAGGTCCGAGATTCTGGCTGCATGAATCTCATAGCACTTTCTCCCTGCTCGTGTTGTAAATGAATGAGGCTGGCCTGGGGGAGCGCAGCCTTATTTGCTCGGGTAAGGCCTCACCGTTCTCTCTTTCTCAGGGAGGGCGGACAGCCCGTGGAGAAGGGGACTGACACGATCCTGGCATCCACCTTCTCCAAGTCTGGCAGCTATTTTGCTTTAACCGATGACAGTAAGCGTCTGATTCTTTTCCGTACAAAACCATGGCAATGTCTGAGTGTCAGGTATGAAATGCTAACGTTGAATAATTACAGTGTTGAACGCATAGCTTACACTTGCATGCCAATAACATTAGTGACAGTGACGATTATAATATGCAACTAACACATAGCGCCAGTTGTGTGCCCAGGGCCTGTGATGGGGGTGGGGGATTGTTCTCATCATATCTGCGAGCCAGGAGTCTGGAAGCTGAGCCCAGTGGGTTTGGAAGGGCAGAGCCAGGCCCTGAACCTGGTCATTCTGGCTCCAGAGTCGGTGGCCCAGCCACTGTGCCATCCTGCTTTCCAACAGTGTTTCTCCAGCCTTGTGGTGGTGGAAATAAAGGTCAGCATGCACTCCAAGAGTGTCAGGGTTTNTCTGGCTCCAGAGTCGGTGGCCCAGCCACTGTGCCATCCTGCTTTCCAACTGTTTCTCCAGCCTTGTGGTGGTGGAAATAAAGGTCAGCATGCACCCCAAGAGTGTCAGGGTTTTGTGAAAGTGAAGGCATCNGCATGCACTCCAAGAGTGTCAGGGTTTTGTGCCACAGCTTTAACTTAGCTGGTTTTTGGGTTAGAGTGCTGATTTCTAAGTACTTGAGAACAGGTGGGAGCTCAGTGGTCATGGGGGAGTATGACAGTAACTCAGCAAGAGCATAGATGTCATGGGGCCAGAGCAGTTCCTCTTACCCACAAGTCCTGTAAATGTTCCTCGGCCTTAGTTATTACTCTTCCGGATCTCCGTTCACCTCTGGAAAGGGAGGGAGTGCTGCTGTTTGCAAAGCCTTGTTTCCTGAGAGCTTCTTGGCTCATCACCGCGATGTTCTAGGAGAGGAANTTTCTAAGTACTTGAGAACAGGTGGGAGCTCAGTGGTCATGGGGGAGGATGACAGTAACTCAGCAAGAGCATAGATGTCATGGGGCCAGAGCAGTTCCTCTTACCCACAAGTCCTGTAAATGTTCCTCGGCCTTAGTTATTACTCTTCCGGATCTCCGTTCACCTCTGGAAAGGGAGGGAGTGCTGCTGTTTGCAAAGCCTTGTTTCCTGAGAGCTTCTTGGCTCATCACTGCGATGTTCTAGGAGAGGAGGCGGGCGGTGCTGGTTTCTCTGGGCTCTGACAGCCTCGGTCAGCTCTGTTCAAGTTCTCTGTTTAAGAGGGTGAAGGCTGGAATTGTTCTGTGACACAGATGGAAATATCCACATATTTAGAATATGGAAGATGTTAAGTGTTTTCAGGATTTGGGGTAAATACTACAAGGGGCTTTGAGGGTCTGACTCCAAGCTTCCCTCACTTGCACTTGGCCTTGGTTTTGAGTTTTCACAACCTGTGGGAAGGAGGGAGGGGTGTGAGGATGGGAATCAAGCCAGTGACAGCGATGACAGAGATGGTAGCTGTCTTATCTGCTTGGGCCTCTGTGACAGACACCACAGCGTAAAAGAACAGGTTCTTATCTCATACAGTTCTGGAGCTGGGATTCCTCAGGCCTTCTGGTTCCTCGGGCCAGCTGGCTGATACCTCGGAGGCCTCCTTCTGGCCTTTTGTCCCTCTGCTCCTGAGAAGCACAGGGTCCTGTTTGGATGGTGTGTTGGGGGCGTGATTCCTTTAGGCTTCGGTTTCCATTTCGAGCTGACATCCGGGGAGTTCCACATGCCTGAAGCTGGCGCTGCCACCAGAGAGCATGGTTTGCAGGTCTGTTGTAGGATCTTGCGCCGACCTGTGTTAACCTGTGTCAGCCAACCTTCGGCACCTCTTTGGCTTCCTAGGTCCGTGGTGAGGAGGTGCACGGCCCTGACGTTCACGGCGTCTGAGGAGAAGGTTTTGGTGGCAGACAAGTCTGGGGATGTTTACTCCTTTTCAGTGCTAGAGCCACACGGCTGTGGCACACTTGAACTTGGGCACCTGTCAATGCTGCTGGATGTGGTATGTGTCCAAGTGCTTACTAACTTAGCTGCGGTCGGGCTCAGGTGGAGCGGGGATCTGCGCTGAGCATCTGGGTGGGTGCAGGCTCTCCTGTGGCAGGGACAGTTCTCTGCAGATTTGTGAGCAGGAGGAATGGGACCCAGGGGTGTGAGGCTGACAGCAGGGCGAGTGAGGAGGGGCTGGGTGGTTCCGGATGTGAGGGTCAGCCCAGGTCAGGGTGATGCGGTACAGTCACGAGGTCAGAGTTCATCCTTCATGCTTCATGGGCATCTCCTTGGTGTCCTCCGCACTCCTGAGCCAGGAGCTGTCCCACTGGAGGCATGGAGAGGCCCAGTGAGGGCTGAGCTGTAGCCATGGGTGGTGGAACAGGGGTGGGTTCTCATGGGGGGAGTCAGAACTTGGGGACTGGCTCGACATGGGGATGTGTGAAATAGGAAGGAGAGGAAGGTGACTCGGGTGCTGGAGATGGGAAGGCATGGGTGGCAGTAAGGAATTGTGTTGAGATGGTGTCTTTGTGGATAAGGAATGGAGGCTGCAGACAAGGGGGTCTGGGGGGGTGGGAGGAAGGAAGTGCTCTGGCTGTCCCATGAGTGGATCTGTCCTTTATCACCCCACGTACACAGGCCGTGAGTCCTGACGACCGCTATGTCCTCACCGCGGACCGGGACGAGAAGATCCGGGTGAGCTGGGCCTCGGCACCGCACAACATTGAGTCCTTCTGCCTGGGGCACACCGAGTGAGTCTCCCGCTCCCCCGAGCTGGGCGTCTGGGCAGAGGTGGTTCCTCGGGCTGAGGGCCTCTGGGCAGTGTTGCTGCTTCTCCGTCACCCACTGTGTTCCATGCCTCACCCCGGGGGTATCTGGGGAGTCGGCTGAGAGCAGTGCACATGAGGGTCTGTCCAGCAGGTGTGACCGGGCCGCATCTGGTTGGGGGCCACCCTTGGTGGAAGCTGTTGTGTTGGGGCCCTGAGAGTGACGTGGCCGGTGTGCTTCCTGGGCTTCCCCATCGCCACCCACAGGCCGTCATCACTTACACGTTACTCAGCTTTTGTTGGAGGCTGGGTTTGGGGGGAGAAGGCTCCTCGCTGAGGTGACAGGAGCTGTGCAGGTCACAGCAGCACGAGCGCTGCTCACTGCCCCTCCGTGTGCCACAGGTTCGTGAGCCGCATCCTCGTGGTGCCCGACCACCCTGAGCTGCTCTTGTCCTCGTCGGGGGTAAGTGCGTCTCGGACTCTCCGTTTCTCTCCAAGGCAACTCCTCAGGGGCCGTGCTCAGGGTTCAGGGCTCAGGGCCAGGGCTCAGGGCTCAGGGCTCAGGGCTCAGGGCCCAGGGCCAGGGCTCAGGGCCCAGGGCCCGGGCCCAGGGCTCAGGGCTCAGGGCTCAGGGCCCAGGGCCAGGGCCCAGGGCTCAGGGCTCAGGGCCCAGGGCCCAGGGCCAGGGCCCAGGGCCCAGGGCCCAGGGCCCAGGGCCCAGGGCCCAGGGCCCAGGGCCCAGGGCCAGCGCCAGCGCCAGGAGCTCATCTCCGGTTCCCAGCTGTGGTCCACTCGGCAGCGCACTCCGCTTCTACCTTGGCTGTGCACTAGATGGCGCTCGCTGTCTGAACGTCCCAGCTGGCTGGGCCTTGCTTGCTCTCTGTATACTCAGGGGTGTCCATGTCTGTGTGTGGAGTTAGAACAGTTGTGCAGGGAGTCCGTTCGAAGGGCTGTTGTTACATCTGTAGTATTGTGATGTCAGTTCAAATAGTTGCTAGAGAAAGTCTTTCTGAGTCTTAGAGGGACCTGTGTTTGGTCACCCCGCCGCTGCTGATGCAGGCTCAGTTGCCCTGTGTGCTGCTCCTTGTGTGAACACCTAATCATTGATGTGGCAGTGCGTGTGCATGCATGTGTGCGTATATTTGTGTGTGCATACTCGGCCTGAATACAGCCTGGCTTGTGACATCAGGCTGTCCTTTCTCCTTCGCCCACTTTGCTGTGTGGGGGTCACCTGTTTTTCTTAATGACTTGCCGAGTGGTTGGTTGGGAAGAGCACTCAGGTTGCCCCAGAGTTACCATCCCCAGGACCTGGTGGAAGCCCAGGTGCTTGGGAAGGGTGCCGTGCCCGAGAGGTACGCTGACCGGTCCTTGTGTGCAGGACCGCACCCTGAGGCTCTGGGAGTACGGACGTGGCCAGGAGCTGCACTGCTGTCACCTGACCAGCCTGCAGGAGCCAGAGGGGCCCTGGAGCAACAAGGTAATCGGGTTTGTCTCTGGTTTGTGGGGGCTACAGGGCCCCTCTCCAGTCACTCAGGTCTTGTGAAAAAAATGATTTACGTTGGAAACATATCTTTGCTGTAGTGCATCTGGAATTCTTCCAGCTTCAGAGAAATCATGTATTTCAAATTCTGAAGGCAGCTAGTCATGTAAGCGGGAAATAGTTTATATTCTTATCATGTTTACATTCAAACAACTAATTTATAGAAAGGTCTCTAGTCCACTTGGAAAAGGAAAAAATAGTAGAGCTGGAGCAGAGAGCTTTGCTGTGGTTTTATCAGCCAGGCAGCAGGCCGAGTACCTGCCCAGCGTCCTCTGTTGTCCATCATGGATTAATCTCATGACCCACCCAGGTAGGCCTCCAGGGCCTTTGGTTGCCAAGGAGGTTTTTCAGGGGGGAAGGTGTGGGCTGCTTTTCTGGGTTCCCAGGATTCTGTGCTCATGGGCACCCAGCTTTGATGCTCCTGAGCTAGTCTTGCACAGCCAAGGGTCTGAGTTCATCATGCATGAACAGCCCCACCAGCTTCCCTGATGCCCACCTGGGCCTGGTGGGGAGGGGCAGGGGCCTGCTGTCGAGTCTACTCAGGCCTTTCCCCAGAGGCACTGTGCCCTTTCCCCTGAAACCCCCACGTGGCACCCTGCCAGCCCTTGAGGACTTGGCTCTCCTGCCTGTCAGACCTGGGTGTGAAGCTCCCATGCGGGAGCTTGTCTGCCTGGTCCTTGGCCTGGCTTCTCGTTTCTGTTGTCTGCTCTGAGACCACTATTGCAGCTGCCCTCACAGGTCCTCAAGGTGGGCAGGCTGGGCCTGACTCAGGCCAGGGCCCTTGGGACCCATAGCAAAGCACCTGCAGGGCCACCGGGTCCGTGGCACCTGCTGCTTGGACCCTGCAGTCATGGAAGCTGCAGCAAACAGAGGCCTGCTTTGTTCTGGTAACTTCTCACCCATGTACCCTCACTTAGCCTGATGCTTTGGCGTCGAGGTTGATGTGAGTTCTTCCTAAGGGCGAGGAGAGAGGCCTGTGGGTAAGCAGGTTTCTGACCTGTGCTGGTGCGCCTAACTGCAGGAGCCGGGCGGCCTTGCCTCTCGGGCACCTGCCCTGCTCGGGCCTGCTGAGCGGCAGGCCCTTTCTCTCCACTTCTGACCGATGTCCAGTGTTTCGCCCTTGCTGGGTGTGTGGGCACCCGCAGGGCAGTTGTGTCTGTACTGAATGCTTCTCTTCTTTTCCACTTGTGTTCTCTGTCCCTCTGTCCTTGCCTTTTGAACATTTCCGCTGGCTTTGGAGACATTCCATGGTCTGGAGAGAGGGCAGAACCACGGAGAGGCTTTTGGCATGTGCCTTGCATGTTGGAGTTACTATGAAACAGGCAGCCAGCCCTTCCCTTCTCTTCCCTCAGTGGTTTATGTAGAGTTCTAGCACCGTCTTCCCTCTCCATCCGGGAGCTTGTGTGGGAACTGTCAGTCCTGCAGCGTGTGCTCTCAGTGGGGATGGAACAGGCAGGCGTCAGGTCACGTCCCTGATGTGCAGTTAAGCCGGTGCTTTCCTTTCAGAGGTTCGCCGTGTCCAGGATCGCTTACTGGAGCCAGGACAGCTGTGTGGCGCTGCTGTGTGACTGGTAGGCTCACTGCTGGTTCCTTCCAGCCTGCCAGGGAGGGAATACATGGATTGTTCCATTGGGCCCATAGTCTGCCTCCTTAGTCGGGAGGTTTTAGACAGTACGGTGTATTGGTGCCATAGCTCCCAGTGGGGTGGCGATGGGGTCTCCCTTTCTGAAGTTGCTGTGGTGTGTGGGTGCGGGTTCTGGTTCTGCATGCAGGCATTCTTACATACTGTTTAATTCCACTGACTTAATTGTCAGCAAGGCCTCTGACTGGTCTGACAAGGTCTTTTGTGTGTGATTGAATTCTACTTAAGGGTTGATTGTGGTAGAGTCGGCCTCACTCAGTCCCACCTAAGGGCGATGGTTTATGAGATGGGTTAGGTAGCACTTGGGTTTCAGCTGCTTCCTCCTGAGCATCCTCTCTGCTCTCTGGATCCTCACTTGTCCTCATAACATGTCTTGAGAGGGCATCTTAGCTTGTCTTAGAAGTAAGGACACAGGTTAGAGAGGGTCGAAGTGCTGCCCTGCGGGTGGGACGGCGTCAGCTCTACACTTTTCCTTCCTGGATTTCTTGTCCTTGCTGCCTAACAGGTGACCCCAGGGCTTGGTTACTCAGATGTTCCTTACCTCACAGTCTGTGGCCCAGGGCTGTGGGAGGGCTCAGCTGGGTGCTTCTAGCTCAGGGGTGCAGCCACAGCATTGGCAAAGGCCACATTTCCTGCTTGGGCAGGCCCAGCCGAGTGCTGAGCCAATGTCTCTGTCAGGCTGTGGGAGTTGTAACGATTCCCTCTCTTTCTCGTGGGAAGCATTCCCGTTGTCTACATCTTCCAGCTGGACGCCCTGAGGCAGCAGCTGGTTTATAGGCAGCAGCTGTCTTTCCAGCACAAAGTGTGGGACATGGCTTTCGAGGAGACCCAGGGGCTGTGGGTGCTGCGGGACTGCCGGGAAGCCCCGCTCGTGCTCTGCAGGCCAGTGGATGGCCAGTGGCAGGTGAGGTGTGCTGGGCCCTGCTGTCCCCTGAGCCCGGGGTGGGGGTAGGGCCACAGCTGTTATACCTTTCAGCTTGATCGAACCTTGATGCCAGAGGGTGTGTCCTAGGTGAGGGGGGTGTCATAGGCCATGTTGGTACATGAAATGCCCCAGGCCTCGTGTCATGGGTTTTTATCCTGACGAGATGTGGCCGCTGTTTGGTGAGCTAGCATCTCCTGGTCTTCATGTAAAGATTTGCGGGGCCTCTTCCCGGGCCCTGCAGTTCGGGCCCCCGCAGGCCTGCCCATTACTGTGCCAGCAGCACCTTCTGATCCAGGTTTCCTTTGCCTCGCAGCCCGTTCCTGAGAGTGCTGCGGTGAGGAAAGTCTGCGCACACCTTCACGGGAACTGGGCCATGCTGGAAGGTGAGGGTGCGGCTTGTGTTTCAGGGTGAGGTCCGGCGTGGCCACGGACAAAGCAGATTCTAGCACACGGTGCACAGGAGGGAGCTGTGAGAACATAGGGTGCGCAGGGTGTGCACGTGTCCTTGTCGGGGGCATGGAGGAGGTAGCTTACACCTGGGCAGACGCGGTAGGTGTGACTCAGGACAGTGAGCTGCCTGTGAACTGGGGGTCAGTCGGAGCAGCATGTCGCCTCTGCCTTCAGGGCTGGGTGCTGGAAGTCCGGAGGGCAGGCCAGCACCTGGGGTGGCCCCCAAATGGAGTGAGGAGCCACTGAGTTCCCAGCTGGTGGCATTCAGTGACTCCACAGGTGTGTGCAGTTTCTCAACCAGGAGGTCAGATATGAGGACAATCCACGGTCGTTGAGGGTCTTCACAGCTCAGGGCAGGTACCAGTAGTAACCACAGGTCGAGGGAAAAGGGGAGAGCAGTGAAAGAAGCCAGGTCACCCCCATGAGCTGCTGGGGTTAGTGAGGGCGGCAAGGCTGTGGGTTCCTCGGGCTCCAGTAAGAGGACCCATGGCGAGCAAGTGTGGCTGAGATGGTATCCTGCCGGGGGTGTTAAAACGAGGAGACCCCGCTCTACCTGCACTGGCAGAAGGCAGACCCTTAGTCACACAGCTCTTGGCTGTTTCCTTCTTGGGAGAGACACGAAGTGACAGTGTCTGAAGAGGAATTTGTAACCCAGCACCAAGCATGCTCTGTGCAGAGCACTTTGGTGGAGACTCATTGGCTCTGATCCCAGGGTTAAGTTCCATCCTCCCTTCCTCTTAGGCTTGAAGGGTTGGGGCAGTGACAGGGCTGCATCTACCCCAGTGCTGTTTGGATTTGCATGGGCCACACCGGCAGGGTGGACTTGCAGCAGGACTGTCGGGACCCAGGGTGGAAGCATCACTAACAGGCCCCTCCCCGCCTGGCACATGCTGTCCCTGCTGCTGGGGCCTGGGGCCTGCACGGCCCACTGAGATCACCTCATTCAGGGCCAGGCCCCAGCTGTGCTTAATTTTCCTAAGAGGTTCTGCAGATAAAACCACCTGTTTCCAGTGCAGGTCGGGGGAGGCTTGGAGAAAGCACAGGGAAGGAGAGTTGACCTTGAAAAACCACACAAGGGCTGGAAAGCCAAGGGAGCTGGGAGGCCACATGTGTGGGGCACAGGCCTGCGAATCACTGACTGGCCCTGTGGAGTGTCCCACCAGGTGAGGTGGTCTCAGGAATAGCCAGATTTCGTGTTCTGTTAGAGGCGAGTCAGGTTCAGCCAGTGTGGCTACCAGGAGGTGGGCTGTGTGGGGTCTGCCTTGGAGAAGGTGCCAGAAGTTCACGGAGAACTCTGGGTGGTCACAGGGTGAATTCCCTGTTGCAGGAGGGCCTCACAGACCCACCAGGTCTCGCAGCTAGAGGCGGTGTCCGTGTCACCGTCACACCTGGCCCCTGTTCTTGTTCACCCGCGCAGGCTCTGCTGGCGTGGATGACAGCTTCAGCAGCCTGTACAAGGTCACCTTCGACCACGTGACCACTTACCTGCGGAAGAAGGAGGAGAGGCAGCAGCAGCTGCGCAAGAAGCGCCACAAGGACCCGCCCCCCGGGCCCAACGGGCAGACCAAGAAGGTGAAGTCCGGGGAGGCGTCCTGGAGCTGCTCGTCCTAGCCACGGTGACGGCTCTCCCGGCCTCGGAAAGCAGAGGAGAGTTTACTCGTCCCCTCCCTGCCGCAGCAGCTCCCTTTAAGGAAAAAAAGGGGGAATAGCACCGCCCACTCGCGCTTGGTGGCCGTGAGGTCCATCCAGCTCCCCAGACGCCTGGGCTGTCCCAGACACTGGATGGTACCAGAGCTCCAGAACATTCTGTCTCTGAGCAGAGGCTCTGCCGCAGGTGTGTGGAGCATCCTGCTGGCTGCAGGGAAGCCGGACGGTGTGTTAGCTGAACTGGAGCCAGCTAACGGAGCTGCAGGCGAGCAGCTCGGGGCCTGCAAGCATTCGGTCTTCACGTTGGAGGAAATGTGAGCCTGTGTTCGGGGCGCTTCCCATAGTGCCACCCATGCCCGGCGCACTTCCTTCCAGGGCCGTCCATAAGCAGATGGCTTTATGCCAGCTTGATGGGCATTTTCATCTTGTTCCATCAGCGGGTCCTGGGTGGTGTACTGCACTGTCCGCCCTGGTGGCCAGCGCTACCTCCGCGGAAATCGGTGCTCAGTTCCTCCCTCGGGGCGGGCTCCTGCTCAGCGGCAGACGCGGAGAAGGGGACTTGTTTCAGGACGTGGGAACACGGGAGGAGCCGGGTGGAAGCTTAGTTCCACAGCGAGGTGGCTAATGACATGTGTACCGAGTGACTTGCACTTTTCACACATCCAAAGGGCCGGGGTGTCAGCCGAATCCTAGTCGCCAATCAGTCACGAGCTTTTTGTAGCCTCTGGAAACATCTAGCAGCAACATGTGGAACGAATTTCAGATAACGTTGAGTGAACCCGTTTTTGATGAGTGTGCTGTTTGTGACTGAACAGCTTGCTTTTTGCTTTGAAGGAAGTTTTCGGTGTGGGGTTTGACAGGGTGCTTGGAAACAAGTCGTTCTGCGTATGAAAAGCCGGATGCATCACATTTTCCCAAGTGCCGTGTTTTACTTTGAACGCTGATCTGAAAACTACTGTTTGTGCCGTGTTCAGGATCCCACAGGGGACAGCCCCAAGCTGGGGATTGGGGACAAAAGTAGTTTAGGGGCAAGAGGGTGGCAGCCTCAGGCAGAGGGGTTCCCTGGGGGCAGGGGGGTTGCCCTGGCCATGGTCCTGTAGGAAGGGCCTACCTTTGTTAGCACTGCATTGGGCCCAGGTAGTGGTGACATTGGGGGACCCTGACAGATGAACTAGTCCTTCCTTACATGTCCCCAGTTGCCCCAGAAATTTCCTTTCCTGTTGGTAAACCTAGACCCATGACGGCCTGCATGTTGTTTAAAGGGTTTTAAATCTCTTCACTCTTCACCTGGAACGTCAGCACCCCCTTCCTTCCGTGACTGGCTTTTTGAGAAGATCAGGTCCACAGCCGGCTCCTGCTTGCAAAGCAGTGTCTGGATTCGTCAGTTTCGCTGGTTCACCTGCGGGAGAGCCAAGGACTTGGTTTTCTCACACTCCTAGTTACAGTTCTCTCCTTTTTTGGTTTCTGTATGTTTTACTTTGGGGAGATTCCTTGGGCTTTGTTCCAACTCATTTATTTTTATTTTTAAATATGTAAAAAATTTTTACGGATTGAATTTTAGAGAGAGAGAGGAAGGGGGACAGAAACATCAATTTGTTCCACTTGTTCACCCATCATTGGTTGATTCTTGTATGGCCCTGACCTGGGATCAAACCCAACCTTGGCATTTCAGCTGCTGCTCTAACCAACTGAGCTACTTGGCCAGGGCCCAACTCATGTATTGATTTTAAAAATCTGGTTATCGTATCTCTTAATTCTAAGGGTTCTAGTTCTTTTTTCATTTTTATTCAAGTGCAGTGTACAACTGGGAAGTGCACCTGGAATACACAAACTGAAATTCTGACTGGACACACACATGTGACAGTCCCCACCAGAAACAGGACATTACCCACGGCTGAGAGGTCCCCCAAGTTCCTTCCAGCCTTATACTCCTTCCCCCCTCCAGTGAAGGCCAGGCTGACTTAACAGATTAGCTTCCTTTGGCTCAATTTTTTGGGCGAGATTCATTTACATTGTTGCACTGGTTGGAAACGTTCATTCTCCTTGCCGCATAGTATTCCCATATGCGGAAATGCAACAATGTATCCACCCTGCTGGCAGCGGGCGTTTGAATGGTCTCCAGACTGGCTGCAGTGAACATTCCGGTCCTTGTCTTTTGGAACATATGTAAACATTTCTGTCCGGTGTATATTTAGGAGTGGAATTGCTGGCTCTTGGTCATGTTTAGCTTGGATGCTGCTGCCTGTCATGGTTAATTCTACCACCACCACAGAATGTACATTTTGGTACATTCTCATGCTCGGCATTGGAGCTAATGTTGAATTTTGCAAAGGCACAAACTTGGGGGCATGGGAATCGGTGAAGCTGCCCACCTATCCTCCAGACTTAAACCTGATCTTGTTCTTGGCAAGGTCACCTTAAAAACAATGTGGATGGCCCACTATGGGGGATGCCAGCCATAGGTCATGAGAAGGCAGCCTGTGAAGAGGTCAGCGTGGCAAGGAGCTGAGGTCTCCTGCCAGCAGCTGGCGACCGACCCCCGGACCGAGCCATCTTGGAAGAGCTTCTTTCTAATATAAACATAGAACACTGTAGATTCTCTCCTGCAGCACCATTTACTTGAACCCTGTATGTGTTGACGTGTATTTTTCTTTCTAATTTCCCTTGTGACTTCTTTGGTCTATGGGTTATTTGGATGTGTGGTTTAATTTCCAGACATTAGATTTTTTTTCTTCAGATTTCTTTTGTTACTGGTTTTAATTCCATTGTGGTCTCAGGATATACATTGATTTCATTCCTTTTAAAGTTACTGAGCTTTGTATTATGCTCCACAGAACAGTGGTTATTTCACATGCCCTTGAAAAGAATATGTGTTCTGAGTTCTTGGCTGGAGGAGTGTTTTGTATGTGGATTAGGTTTAGTTGGCGATACCAACTTGAAAACGACCATCTTTCTGATTTTTGTGCATGTCTGTTAATTATTGAAAATAGTACTTAAATGTCTAACTATAGTTGTGGTTTTGTCTAATTTTCCATTGTCCTACTGTTTTTTTTTTTTGTTTTTTTTTTTAATATCTTTTTTGTTTTCTGAGTGAGGAAGGGAGAGGGAGAGAGAGAGAATCACCAGTGATGAGAGAGCCATTGATCAGCTGCCTCCACGCCTCCTGCTGGGGATCGAGCCCGCAACCCGGGCATGTGCCGACTGGGAATCGAACCAATAACCTCTTGGTGCACAGGACAGCGCCCAACCACTGAGCCATACCGGCTGGGGTGACAATGTGCCTTTAAAAAAAAATCCCCAAATCATTGGGTTTTAGTGGAAATAAACCTGAACCACATATGTCATCAGAAGTATTCCAGTTGTCACTTTGAAAAGTTTTTAAAAAATAGATGAAATCTTTGAGAATATAGTTCATTTAGCTCAATACAGCAAAAACAGTGTCTCAACACATGATCTATGGAAAGTTATTCATGAGCTACTTTTTTGAGCTCTTATGTTCTATTTCTAATCCTCATTGTTCGCAGGCTTGTCTTATCTGTGCAGCTCCCCCATTTGGGGCTCTGCCTGGAATCCGAGCTGCCTCGGCCTCTGAACTTGGGTCGGTCGCCCCTCGGGTGGCCAGGCTCCGTTCGGGCCTGTCCTCTCCAGGCTGCAGCCGGGTCACTCCCGGGCACAGATCCTTGAGGGCGGGGCTGCCTTTTTTAGGGACCACAGACCTGCGCGGGAGGGTGATTCTGGACCCTTGTCTCCCATGGTCCGAAGCAGAAGCCCTTGTTGCAGTTTGAATTGACGTTTATCTTGCAATAGGTGAGCTAAAGCATCTGAACAGTCTGCTGAGTCTCCTTTGCCCAGTTGCTTCTCTATTGTTTTTTGGGGGTGGGGGGGCTGGTTTGAAGGTCATCTTTTTAGTTCTTCATCTGCTGTATGACTTGCAGATTTTTTTCAGTTTGACTCTGGGCTTTTTTAATGTTTTCTTTTTAATACAGACTTTTCCGTAGTCAAATTTGTCCATCTTTTTGTTTGTGGCCCCTGGGTACCCAGTCAGGAAGGCTTTTCTGCACTCACCCCACCTTTGAAATGGTCCTTTTACAGAAGGGGAGGCAGAGTGTGGGACTGAGGACAGAAATAGGCCCACCCGACGGGGTGGTGACCAGAGGCTGGTGGGACGCGAACGTGTGGGGAGACTGATCTCTATGTCAAAAGCCGTTGAGGTTTTGTCCCCCCCCCCC